CTGTGTGCCCCATGTATAACCTTGTTTAACCTGCACAGCAACCCTATGAAGTAGTATCATCCCCATTACACAGATGAGAAAAGTGAGGCTAAGGAAGTTAAGCAATGCCCAGAGTCTGGCTGCCAAGAGGAGAAGCAGCAGCATGAACTTGAGCCTGGCCAGGCCTCACACCCATGCACTCGCCAGACTCCTTCAGAGTCACTGCCCGGGTGACTGTCCACACACCACCCAGGAATGGTGTTCTGAGTGTGGGGGTGGGAATGGGTGTGGACGGGTTTTGCCGGATGGCTCTGGCATCTAAACAGATGCCCCCACTAACTGTTAGTGCTCCCAAGCGTGTGACCGAGAGCCCGAGTACATGTGTGTGCCTTGGGGGTGGAGGGCGGGTAATCCGGCTTTGCAGTTTCTAACACTGAAGTTATGCAGTAATGCTTCTGATTCACAAAATGAGCTCACAGTCTCACAGCATCCTGAACACTGCTCTGAACGTAAAGTGCAGATCCCCTGGAGACCTAGGGACTTCAGCATGCTCCACCTAGCCCAGCCCAGCACCCACGCAGGGGCCAAACGCCCACAGCAGGCCCTCCCCCGGAATGCGGCCACCTGCTGCATCTCCTGCAGCCTGCAGTGAGTCAGGGAAGGCGCCTCCGAGGCCAGGCTGCCTCTGTGTGATGTGTGTGAAAGCAAGATGCCAACCGAGCCTGGCTAGCAGATCCCGAGAGGCGGGAGGTTCTCAACTCTTTCACCCCGAGGTCCCCACGGGGTTGGGATGACCAGGACACAGAGCTGCAGCACAGCGCCAGGGACCTGGGCCCACCAGCACCAGACTCACTCGTGGCAGACTGACCCTTTTGAAACCAGTAGGGTAGCGAGAGGAGTCCTCACCAGGAGCAGGGGCTCACGTTCATGTTCGTAATGGAGATCTTTCATTCACTTGCCCCATGAACACTTGTGGGATGTGTCAGGCACTGTGGAACAATACGGAACGCATACTACAGCAGGGGTGACCATACCGCTGAAGTGTGTGTCAAGCCTCGGGCACCTTTTAGTCCACTACAGGACTACATATGCACCAGTAACTCCGCAAGGTGGCAATGGGTGTTCCCATGTGGCATTCAAAAAAGGACTAGGAAGAGAAGCAGGAATCTCCCAGGCATTTGTGCCCACCCTCACGCCACCACGAGCCAAGCTGGAACCCGACTGGAGGCAGGGGCTGTCAAGACCCAAGATTCCTGGCCCGGGCACCACTGTCATTTCTCCAGTTCCCACCAGGTCCAGCCCCTGTTTGCCTTCTGCTCTTACTTGTTCTGCTGGTGGGACAAAGCAGTCTCCTGGGCCGCGGGGGCCTGTGTAGATGCAGCTCATTCTCTAGCTCCCTGGGCATGGCCGTGTGGTCCACCCCTGCTGCACTGTGCCTGCTGCGTCCCCGACCCTTCTCCTACTCCCTCCTCATGGCAGCTTTTCTGTGGCCACAGGAAGCCCTCAGCTGCATCCTCCCCACCCCCCAACCCCTGCAAAAAAAACCATGCAAGTATTAAAAGCAGCAGCCCAGAGGCTCAAACACCAGGGCTAGTTTAAATTCCAGCTCTGTTTCCTGGGCCCTCCCAGGGCACTCTTTTTTTTTTTTTTTTAATAGATGTATTTTATTTATTTGAAAGGCAGAGTTACAGAGAGAGGCAGAGACACACACACAGAGAGAGAGAGAGAGAGGTCTTCCATCCGCTGGTTCACCTCCCAAATAGCGGCAACAACCAGGGCCGGGCCAGGCCGAAGCCAGGAGCCAGGAGGTTCCTCTGGGTCTCCCACGTTGGTGCAGGAGCCCAAACACTTGGGCCATCCTCTGCTGCTTTTCCCAGGCACATTAGCAGAGAGCTGGATCAGGAGTGGAGCAGCTGGGACTTGAACTGGCACCCTTAGGGGATGCCAGCGCTGCAGGCCGGGGCTTTAACCCTCTACACCACAGCACCGGCCCCTCCCAGGGCACTCTTGTCAAGCCTGGGGTTAAGAGCTCAGAGAGCCACTGGGAGACAGGGCTGAAGCCACACTGGGAGCAAACAGGCCATCCCCCAGCAAGCTGTACGACCCAGGAGTCGTCCTCCCAGTTCTTTACCCCCTGGTCCCCGGGAAGCCACACAGACCACAGTGACCAGCCAGAGGCCAACCCAGCTAGAGTGGAGACTGGACCCGGCCATGAGCGAGATGGTTTATCACAGCAATTGAGTGTTTACACCCATATTATTCACTCTGCAGAGCAGCAGGAAGGAGGACTCATAAATTGTCAAACTGGAAAGGGTTCTCCCTTCCCCTTGGCCTTGAGTCCATCTCACAGCCCCGGAAGGGGTGCACGTCTCTGATCCTGAGGGCCTCCTGCCACACCTTCCCGGAGGGGTCCTGGAGGAGCACGGGTAGCTTCCTCCCCTCCATCAGGTCCTGCCAGCGAGGAGCGGCTTCTTCCACCTCCACCAGGTTTCCAGTTTCCATCCTGAAGCTACAGGGAGGGGCGCGGAGAGCCAGGCTCCCCCTGCTGGAGCACGCCAGACCTCCCCTCCCCCCAGCCGCGACTGCCAACAGGGATCCCCCGCGCACACGTGCCCCAGCGACCTGCAGGGCCAGCCAGGGCCAGCCGGCTCTTCCCCATCCCGCCCCTTGAGCCAGGCTCCACAGCCTGGAACACAGGTCTGACGTAGGATGGCGCAAGCAGGAAACAGCCACCAAAGTTGAGACCAACAAAGTTTTAAATGGGGCAAGAAACTTCCCCTTCCATCCCCTCCAGGGGCTCCTGCTGCAGGCCTGGCCTCCCCTCTGGGTCGCAGGTGTCTGCTCCAGGTCAGCACGCCTTGGACTGAGGCTTAAAAGTCCCAGGGTGTACCAGTTCCTCTAGTGGCCCTGGGCTCTTACCCAGGCAGGCGGGGAGGGGGCCTCGGAGAGACAACCTGGTGCACACGTTCCTGCGCTGGGGGTGGGGAGGATGTGATAAAATCCACCGCCCGCAGTCTGGGGGGCCGACGGACCAGGGCCCCAGCGTTCCCGACAGGCACCTGGGCACACCGCACCGGGCCGCAGCGGCGCGGGAGTGCGGGGGCGGCCGAGAAGATGACAAGCCCGAGGTGCGCCCGCAGCGCCGGGGTGCGCGGGGTGAGGCTGCTCAACGCTTGCGGGCCCACTGCTCCAGCCTAGGCCTCGACTGCACTCGCTCCAGGTCCCTGCTGCCCCTGCCCCCCGGTCCCGCAAACTCTCCGTCCCCCTTCCCGTGCACGCTGGCAGGGGAAGGGGTTCCCGCGCCGTGTTCCCGGAGCTCGCGAACCCCTCGCCGCGCCGCCAGGGCCTGTGCCCCGTCACGCGAGCGGACGTGAGGAGCAGCCGTGCTCCCGAGCCGCCGCCACGGGCCTGGCGGCCGGGGAGGGTTTTCCAGCCGGGGCCGCGCCCGGGTGGGCGGGGGCCGCGCGCGAGCTGCGTGGCTGCACGAACACGGCGGGCTGCGCTGCACACGCAGCCGCGGGCGGTGCGGGCCGCGCGGGGGCGGGCTGCGGGCGTTCACCGCACGGCCACGCGCCCCGGCTCCCTCCGCCACCCAGGCCGCACAAGTTCGCGCGCCTGCAGGGCTGCAGCGCGCGGGGCGAGCGGCCACCGCCGCGTGCAGGCCTCAGCCGCCGACGGGCAGCCCCCACTTACCCGGCTCCTGCCCGCGCTCTGGCCTCGGCTGTCTCCCCGCCGCCGCCTCCGGTCGCCTCCGGGACTCCAAGCCGCCTGCACGCACTCCCCGATTTTAAAAACAAACAGGCGCCGTCGCCTCCCTGCGGCGCTCGCGGGGTTTCCGCCAGCTCGCGCCTCCCGAGACTGGGAAGTTTGCTGGCAGGGCCCGGGCGGGACGAGCGGGCTGTCACCCCCCGCTCGCGGCGCAGGAGCTCGGCGCGCCCCGCGCCCGTGCCGGCCGCCTCGCGCGCGCTCTCCCTCCCTCCGTGTCACCCCCAGTCCTGCGATGCAGTGTCAGGATTGCACGGCTCTGACTCATCGGTTGAGCTCACAGCTTGAAAAAAAAAAAAAGAGAGAGAGAGGGCGAGAGGCACCGGCGAAGGAGGAGGACTCTCTGGCGTGCTACAAAGGATTGCACAACTCCCGGCTGGGAGCGCGGAGCGCCCAGCGGCCGGCCGGCGCGCGCGGCACCGCGGCGAGCAGGAACCCGCTCTCCCACTTGATCAGCACAACTGTCTCGAGTCGGCCTCTCCGCCTGCAGGCCCGGCGCCGCCCACTTCCTGCGACCAAATAAGGCCGGGGAAGGCGTCTGCGAACCTCCGGCGGCGGCGCGGGCTGGGGATTTCCAGCAGCCCTCACCTCCACTCCCGAGCCCGTCGCCGCCCTCCCCCGGCGCGGCGCCCCCGACGGCTTTGCTGGAACCGACAGGCCACGCGGCTCTCGTTCCCTGTGCACACCAAGGTCAGGAGGAGACGGTGACGAAATGTTTGGAAACCCATCGGGCCTGCCAGGAAAGTGTGTGTTCAGCGGTGTGGGGAGGGCACGGGTCGTTTGCTTCGTAGAAGCAAACGCCCCGGCGTTGGGAAGGGGAATCCTGCGCAGCCCTCGCCAGGGCTCTTCAAGAGCCTCCCCAGGCTCGCTTTCCGCCGGCAGCCTTCCTGGCCGTGTACAGCTTACTGGGACCTGGCCCCAGCCCCTGTGAGGACACGCATCCTCACTGATGAAAACTAGTTTTAATTCTGGCAGCGCAAGGCCAGCTCGGGGACGCCCCTCCCTCCCGGGAACAGCTTCTCCCTGACTTCCCTGAACATCCCAGATCCAGGCTCGGCCGCCTCCCGGCAGGACTGGTGGGAAGATGGGACGCAGCGGGGCAGCTCGGGAGGTTCCTGCAGGCCAGGGAAAGGTCAGGGAGGCAGCCCTGCTCTTCCCTGTGTTTTGGCTATTTTTTTTTTCTCCTGTTTGTTTGTTTTCCAAGGAGATGAGTCAGAAGATTTTCCTTTGAAGGAAAAACCACTGAAGAACACGCCGCTGTGTCCTGGCAGCCACGTTCCCCCGTGGCCAGTCCTGAGAGCCAGGTGCAGCCCTCACTTTCTCCCGGAGCAGAGAAGGGGCCGTGGGATATGATCCTGTCGCCCGCCCTGAGCGTGTGGAACTACGGCCCAGGACCACCCGCCAGGTGAGTGCATGACACTGACGGTACCTGCTGCCCCGAGACAGAGCCTGCACCTGCTCCCACCGGGCAGGGCCCTTCCCATCCTCTTCCAACCCTTTGCTGGCTGGGTGCAGCTGGAGGTCACAACTCGCCCTCGGAAAGGGACCCATTGTAGCCCTGTTGCACCGTGTTATGACAGCTATGTCACAGTAATGATCACTTAGAACGGTCTTATCTACCAAATACAGATTCTTATGCCAGGGGACTTGACCAGGTGACCTCTTGAAATAATACCTTCTAGTTTCACATCCACAATGTGGTGATTGCAAAAAGTGAATGGGGGAGTCGGGGACCCGCCCCCTACCAAGAGAAGACTGGGCCCCCTGACGCAGCAGCCACTGACACAGCACTGTTCCCAACACGTCTCAGGGCACTTCACGCACTGCCTGCTCTGTAAGCCTGTGTGTGTGTGTTTTATCTCTCATTCTGTGCATGAGAACCCTGAAGTTCAGACAGGGGTTAAGTGACTTGCACAAGGTCACAGGGCAAACCAGTCACCTGTCACCTCCCTGCTCCTCTTCTGACCTCCCACAGAGGAAGGCAGTGAGGCACTGGCAGGCTGGGGCACTCGGGCACGCAGGCCCCCGGGTAGCACCCAGGCTTAGGGCTCCTGGGGAGGCTCAGCGTAAAGCCCTTCTGCTTTTTCCATTTGCCTGGTTTCTTTCCTCCTGCTGACAACTCAGCCAAGTAGGAAAGCAAAAGCAAAACCACTTGATCTGCTAAGCCCTCGGCTTCCAGAGCCCTCTGCAGACCTGCAGCCACCCCTGCCGCTGGCCTCGGGCCAGGCCAGAGGAGCCCCAGGGAGCTAGTGCAGACCAGCCCAGGGACAGTTCCCAAACAACCATACGACCCGACCCGGCTGGGGAGCGCATTCCTGGAAGAGCCTGCCACCATGAAGCCAGGGCCCAGCCTCCCTGGAACGGGCGGGAGCCACTCCAAAGGGCGCCTCCTTAGCCTTGCTGGTCCCACCAGGACTTCCTCCCTGTCCCATGCCAGGCTCTCAGCTTCAGGCTCTGGGGCCTGGCCCTGGAAGAGGCGCAGGGAGCAGAAGGAGGTGGCCTGCAGGAGCAGTGCTCACCTGGGAGTAGCACTTCCCTTCACACCCACTGAACTTCCACCCGCAGGCCCCCTCGGCGAGCAGGCGGGGCAGTTCCGGATAGCTCCCCACTTGGCAGAAGGGGACGTGGCCCTCCCAAAGGCAGGCAGATGAGGATGTGTTTAAAAAAAGAAGAAAGCAAGCTGCAAGCCTTCTGGGAAAGCCCTGGAGGTCAGTTGTGCTGCAGATATGACAGTGCAGAATCACTGACATGTGAAGTGAAAGTTTTGGTTTTAGAAGCCCCAGCTCCTCCTGTAAGCCTCTGGGGCAACCTAGAAGGGGACTGTTCTGGGTAGGGGGAGGTGTCCCAGCGCCTCACGCCCAGAGAGTGGGCTTTTCTCCACCGTTCATCAACCTCCTTCACCAACTGCAGGGAAGACAGGCACAGTTCCCATGGAGCTTGTGTGAGGACAAAGAAAAACTCCAGGAAGGAAAGGGACAGGACGCTGGGCCCCAGGGACCCACTCGGAGGGCTGTCACTGCCCTGGAAGGCCATCACCAGTGTCTACAGCATACTACATATATCTCAGTAAAGCAGTTAGAAGTAGGGAGGGGACTTCAACGAAGCCAGGTTCTCACTGCTCACCACCTGCCTCCACACTTTCTGCTGCCCTCACTCACCATTGAGAAGTTTTCTTCTTGGAACCAGTGCTGTGGCACGGTGGGTTAATCCACCGCCAGTGACACAAGCTTCCCCTTGAGCGCCAGTTCGAGTCCTGGCCACTCCACTACCAATCCAGCTCCCTACTAACGTGCCTGGGAAAGCAGTAGAAGATGGTCCAAGTGCCTGGGCCCCTGCACGCATGTGGGAGACCCAGATGGAGTTCTGGGCTCCTGGCTTCGGCCTGGACCTGTGGCCACTGCAGCCATTTGGGGAGAGAACCAGAAAAGATGAAGAATCTCTCTCTCTCTAATTCTGCCTTTCAAATAAATAATATTAAAAAAAAAAAAAAAAGGAAAGTATTCTTCTCCCAGCCCAGTGCCCGCATCTCTGTCCATCTGCATGGTCCCCCCTGGGCCAGGCCCCATCCGCTGAGGCCGACACACGTGGTGGGTTTGAGTGAGCGGCCAATCCACACACCACAGTGTGAGGAACTGGGGGCAGAACCACTGTGGAGGACCTCACGAGTCCCAAGGCCAGGTTCCTTGTGATCTCGTGTGCCTACTGTCACTTCCCTCAGCAAAATATAAAGACACTGCCTCTGGGACCTCTGCCTACAGTTCCAACAAAAGAAAGAGAAAGCTGTGCAGAGAACAGGGAACCAGCGCTGGGTTTGTGCCCTGCTGAGCAGACCCCTGCGAGATCTTTCTGTGGAAAACTGTCACCAGCCTTCTGGGCCACGACGGTGGCACCGTGGTGTCTGTTGAATGAACAGTGAAAGAATGCCCACCTTCCAGCGGCTCGAAAGGATCAAACGGCCAAACAGCTGCATCCTGCCGTCTCCTGCTAGGTGCAACAAGGGGGTGCAGTTGCTACTGGTTTCCCTACTCGACCCTGTACTTGCTTCTCCTAGAGCCAGCTTCCCCCTTGCAAGGACCTTGTTCCAGGCAAGAGTTCTTTTTACCTGCAAAGACCCCATCAGCCTCAAGTGGCCTCTGCTGGCCTCCGCCCTGGTTCCCGCATCAGTGCCCAATCCTGTCTGCGATGTCCTCCCAGGCGCTCTGCGCGCACTGCCCTTTGTGTCCTGGCCACCGCGCATTTCCATGGCGCTGCCCACCCGCCGGGACAGGGGCACCCCTCTGACAGCTGTGCCTCTGCTCGCCTCTTTGTGCCAGCTCCTTCTGGAAAGAGCTGCAGCTCAGAACCACCCCAGTCATTCAGTTAAGCCACTGTGTGCCAAGAAGTCCCTGCACGGTCTTCTGTTTCGCCCTGGAAGACCCCGGGGACCTTCCCCCTCAGCTCACACGGACTTCACCTGTTCTGGGGCAGCCCACAGCTGTCCACCTCCCTCGGCTCTCCCACCTGCCCCTCCCCAGCCTCCCCCTCTGGCAGGCCCAGGCCAGGTTCTGAGGGCCTTTGTCAGGCCTAAGAGGGAGCTTCTGCAGATGTCCCCAGTTGCTGCTGTCACTCCAGGGCAGACGTCTGGCTTAGTGTAGGGGAAAGGACAAAACAGGTGTGGCTGCCAGGGAGGACAGTCGGGAAGGGCCACGGGACAGAAACATCCTTACTCTGCCAGCTTCCCAGAGGCCCCACTGCGGCACTGTCCCGTGTCCTCTGCAGAGAGGCCCTGGCCACTCTCTGGAGCTTGGCTCCCCTACCTGGTGGCCGTGGGCCAAGAGATCTGATGTGTGCATTATCTGTAAAAGAGAACAATACTGATGCATCCCACATGCACGGGAATGCTCGGGTTGAGAGGACAAGCCGAGACCTGAGCCCAAACCTTGGCTCACATTAGTTTGATGACCTTGAGCAAGTTATGTAACTCCTCGGTTTCCCCATCTGCAAATTGGGGGTGACGAGTAAGAGCTTAAAACAGTGTCTGGCACTCATTAAGTCTTCTGTAAGTGTTCGCCATCATTTTTTTTCTCGTGTCCTAACTGATCTTGCTTCTAGTCACGTGTGCTGCCATCAGGGTGGTCACACGTCTTTGCAGTAGCTTGCTGCACCTGCCTGGGGCTAAGACTGTTCGCCAGACTGTTAGACACTTGTGTTTCTAGCACAGTCTTGCTCTGCCCCATTTCCCAGCCCCAGCCCCACACAGCCAAACCACCTGAGGTTCCCCATCACTCCTGTTCTCTCACCTCAGTTTCCACCTGCTCCTCCTCCTCCTACCTTGCCTCCCAGGTAAACCCTCACCCAGTCTCCTGCCGGATTTGCGCTTACTGGCAACCCTTCCAGGAAGGCTTCCTTGATTCTGTAGGCAGAGCGAGTATATGCCATGAAGTGTATACTGTAGGAGCCCCCCCATTCCCCTTCTTTCAGGCACTGTCCCCTAGCTACCATGAGTGCTGGCTGCTAACAGCCCATAGCTGCCCCCTTCTCAAAGGGAGCCTTGGGTGGGACCAGTTCAGAGGTGGTGGAATTCAGGCTCCAGGGCTCCTGTGGGTTCCCACAGGAGCCAGACCAACTGCCACACACCCTCCCCGGCTTAGCATCTTCCCTGTGTCTATCTTGCTCCTCCTCCTCCATCCCTCCTAAGAGCTCTTCCCAGGTAAATCCCAGGCACCCAAACCTGTGTCTGGGTCTCTGCTCAGGATTCAAAGAGCCACTCTCTCCCCTAAGTTCCCACGGCACTGCCCGTTGATCTTTGCCCAGTCCCGTCCACACTGGTCTCTGCCTGCTTCCTGCACCCCCTCCGGAGCCCGGCACCATTCCCTAGGCTCACAGTCCTGGAAGGCAAGGCCCGGAGCTCCCTCACCCTGGTGTCCGCGGCACCCACAGATGGTCGGTGCAGAGCAAGTGCGTGCTGGAGAGCAACGCGATGGAACAGATCCTTTTATTGCCATTCTGTCCCCACCTTCACATCGCCGACATCAGGATGCAGCTCACAACTGACGGCCTGCGTGCTTCAGGGGTTTAAGAGCAGCACTTTCCTCTTTCCCAGCTTCCCTCACAATCCTGGCGCACGTGCGGATCTGCGGCTCCTCGACTGAGCGACGATGGTGTCGTGAATACTGCTACGCCTGAGGTTCGGTCTCCCGCAGTGCAAAGCCCACAAAACTGGAGGCCCCATTGGCTGAGGCCAGTAGCTGTTGGGCAATCAAGCGCTCATAAAGTGACCTAAGGACAAGAAGGATTCCTATGTCCAGACACCTCCGGATACTCCCATGGAAGCGGGCCAGTGTGACGTGGAACAGGCTCTGGACTGGGAGTCCAAAGAGCAAAAGTCTAAGCCTGTTCTTCGTCTGATTTTCCGGATGTTCCTACACAGGGCCTAACACATCTATCAGACTCTCCTAAATGCTCGACACTGTGGGTGCCCCAGGTTGCCCACAGCACCCTGGCATGAATCCATTATCCTCACCTTCTGGATAAGGACGGTGAGGTTCAGCAAGGTCAGACAGCTCATCCAGGGCCACACGGATGGAGTTCAGCCCCTGGACTCCGATTCCTTCTCTCTGCAAGCTGAAGATACCTCCTTGGGCCCATGCTTTCCCAGTAAGGAAGTGAGCAACAGGAAGGGCCACAGAAGAGAGCCTTACAAGCCCTTCCTCCCTCCCAGATGTCTTTTCTTTGATCTATGTGTTATGTTTCATTGTAATCAAATTTATTGCAACTTTTTTTTTAAATCAGGGAATTTAATCTAAAATCTGGATTTCTCCTTTGTCATGAAAAAGAGCCTGGCAGGGGCCAGCGCTGCACCCTAGCAGGTAAAGCCAGTGCCTGCAGTGCCAGCATCCCATATGAGCGCCGGTTTGAGTCCTGGCTGCTCCACCTCCTACCCAGCTCTCTGCTATGGCCTGGGAAAGCAGTAGAAGATGGCCCAAGTCCTTGGTCCCCTGCACCCACATGGGAGACCCGGAAGAAGTCCCTGGCTCCTGGCTTCGCATTGGCGCAGCTCCAGCCGTTGCGGCCATTTGGGGAGTGAACCAGTGGATAGAAGACTTCTCTCTCTCCACCTCTCCTCTCTCTGTGTAATTTCAAATAAGTAAATGAATCTAAAAAAAAAAAAAAAAAAAGAAAGAAAGAAAAAGAAGAAGAAAGAAAAACAGCCTCGCACAGGGGCCAGGCTGAGCCCTCCCGGGAGGTGGAACTGAGCAACACTGGGAAGGGAGTGGCACCTGCAGGAGATTCACATGGTCCAACTGCCCACAGCCCTGCCCCTAGGTCACAGGTCACTGTCATCCATCATCACACGGTGCCAGCCTCTGTCATCTCATTGCGGCTGTTCCCTGCCGGCCTTCGAGTGCATGACCCATGAGACAGATGAACACCAGCGCCCTCCCCGGCTCGCTGCGCCCCTGGCTCCCCCGCAGAGCTCCCTGGGCAGCCTCCCTCCAAGGAGAGCACCTCATGAACCTGCTCCAGGAGCCACTCGGACATCTTCCTCCTGCCCTCCGGCCTCCATCGCAGGGCCCCAGTGTCTGTTCCTCTCCCACCCGACCCTCAGCAGCCAGAGGGCTGAGGCCCGGAGCACAGAGGAGGCGAAGGAGGCAGGTGGACAGGTGTGGAGGTGACTCGGCCAAGGTCGACGGTGTGGGGCCCCAGCCAGGGAGGAGGAGAGGACCCTGTGCTTCCCTGAGGAGGTAAGTGTATGCGGGAGGCTCCGCGGTCACAGGAGATGAGCAGGGCCTGACACACGAGGAAGCAAAAGCAGCCCATCACCAAGAGCAAGAATGTGCAGCCTCAGCAGCAGCTTGCAGTATGCAAATCAGCACCATTAAGGCCCGAGTCAACGTGAAAATAAGTAAATAAATAAAACAAAGCTGCTGTCGGCAGGGCTGTCGGGGAAACAGCTGCCCAGACACTGCTGCGCTACTATAAAGGGTCTGAACCTTTCTAGAATGTGATTTAGCATCGTGCCGCAAGAGTTCAGGATTCCGACCACGTACCCGTGGCTGGCGCGCTACATCCTGGGAAAACGATCTAAAACGCTTTTACAGGAGGTGCTCGGGGCACATGTATAAAGAGCCCCCAGAACGGAAACCCGTCACGGGATGATATGGTACAGTAACAGGATCAATTAGGAGAGAGACCGATAACCTGGAAACAATCCGAGGAAATCGCATCAAGTGACAAAGTCAGCACGAGGGAAGATGTGGAGGAGGACTTAGGAACCACGCCACAGCTTGCACGGGAACATCAGAAGCCATCAGCAAGCAATTCTAAACCCTGCAAATTGCTCAGGTGTGATGTTTATTCTGTTAAGTTGGTCAGGATGGCTTCAACGGCGATATCCGTGATGACGAGGACAATGATGTAAGGGCCACCAAACAGGATTTCCTCCTCATCAAAATACCCCGCCCAGGGTCCCCAGGGGGCAGGCAGAGGCCCAGGCTCTGGCTTGATGAGCAAAGAAGGAATGTAAACTGGGTGAAGGAGTTACAAGTGGGCAGGGCACGGAGGGCCCTGCTGCGGCTTTCCCTGATCCGGAGGGCTCCAAAAGGCACCTCTCACCAAAGAAACAAAGTCAAATAAACCCACACCGTTTAACCTCCAACGTCCTGGGTGCTAACTCTTACTGCTGCAAGTGTGCTCTCAATTTTACTAATACTTTATTTCAGCAACTTCCGATGTGATGGCAGGGCTCTTTGTGGGCTAGCCTAGGAACCCAACCACCATTTATAGTATTGTTTCTATGGAAATGTGTTTCAAGCTTCAAAAACTTGAGCTGCTGACAACCCTAGGGCACACACACGTGGTCTCTAAATTAGGGAACTGAGACAAGCAGTTACTGCTCGGTCCTGAGCTCAGGGAAACAGCTAGTTACTTAGATCCTGTGCCAGTTAATACCCACACCACCAGCAATGATCAGAACTGGGCTTGAGAGGCAGGCACTTAGTGAGTGGTTAAGATGCTTGTGTCCGGTGATGAAGCACCTGGGTTTGAATCAGCTCCGACCCCTGACTGCAGCTTCCTGCTAATGCAGACCCTGGGAGGCAGCAGTGAGGGCTCAAGCGGTGGGGTCCCCGCCACTCCCATGGGCCACCTGGACTGAGTTCCCAGCTCCTGGCTTTGGCAAGGTATAGCCCCGGTCATTGCAGACTTTTAGGGAGTGAGCAAGTAGGTGGAACCATGTGCTCGCTCTGTCTCTCTGCTGTTCCAAATAAATAAAAGCTTTAGGTGGCCTTGAGGATGGGGCCAGGGCATCTAGGAATAAACACGATATTCTAAGGAAGCACGTGGGCGGTCCAGGGTTTGTCATGGGAGATCTGAAACTGGCCTGAGCCCCCTCCATGCAGGCCCTGAGCACGTGTTCTTTCCAGTTCCTTTCTGACTCTGGCAAAGCTCTAGCCCCAGGTCCTGTTTCATTCTGGTCACAGAACAAAAACCTCCGCATCTCTGACGCTTCTGGAATCTGGTGTTAGCGAACACATGCTCTGAGAGGACACAGTCCCTCCAGGCCCTGTCCACGGCCCGGGCATTCGCAGGGCACTCCTGCTCCCCCAACACCAAGGAGCCTCCATTTCCTGCCCCGGCACAGTCCCTGGCTGCTCACAGGGGAAGGCTGAGGGCCTCCATCCCCACCAAAAGACACTGCACTGCACATGCCAGGAAAATCGCCCACTCAGACGAAGGGGGCACGACCACGCGTGTGAGCTGAGGAGGCAGCCACTCATAGGCAGCCTGCGGTTCTGAGATGCCACAGAGATATGAGAAGGGGGTCAGATGAGGGTCAGCTGCTCAGCCGCAGGGCCACACCTGCAGCTGCAGGCCCCAGGGGGTTCATGGTAAGACGGGAGGTCAGAGGGTCCTGCATGGGGAAGCGGTGGGGAGCTATGATGCCAGCACGAAAGGGCAGCTCCAAATTCAATACTATAATAACTACGTGCACTCAAGGAAACACCCAAGACACTGCCTCTCGAGGCCCCACCAGGGCGAGGCAGGGCTGCAGGAGGTCAGTCTGCGAAGCACTCCCTGCCTGCTGCCTGCTGGGAGCTGCACAAGTCACAATCAGCTCCCTCGGCCTGTGGCCGGGCCTGCAGGACCAGGCAGTGAGCTGAGTGGGCAGCTCGGAGGCCCCAGGGCCTCACATGCTCCCCAGGCAGGTTCCCTGGAAACCCAGGGCTCTGAGGCCACCTGGGAGTGGCCTGCACCAGCATGAGGCAGAGTACACAGCGAGGCCTGCAGTTGTGTGGTTAGCCAGCCTGTTCGTCAGGCTAAGCCCAATCCGCCCGTCCCTGCACGTGGTGCCGTGGCTGATAAGACAGGGCAGTTGGGTCCTCCTGGTGGTAACAGATGGGAGGCTTGCAGTCCCTCCCCCTGGCCTCCTTCCCACCCAGATCCAGGCTTTGATGTGAAGGCCCTGTCTTTAAAAGTGATAATAGTAATATGGATACTAAATGTATTAGTAAAGCAATAAAGCACAAAACCTCCATTCATAACCTCTTCACCTGAGTCCACTGTTTATATCACACCTGTGCATACTATGGCCAGTGAGCTCAGGTTTTATGCACCCACCAATACGCATGCCACTTTGTGTCTTACTTTTTACAGCAAACTCCATTCTTTTTCCATGAATTAACGTCATCCTCATACTCCCCTAGCAGTGGCACAGTAGGAGTCGAGAGGCATAGTAGAACCACGTGAGGCACTGAAGCAGTTTAGTTTTTTGCTGTTTTAAACAATGTTGCTATAAATGTTTTCATACTCACAGCTGTTTTTGTTTTTAGGTTATTTCCTTAGAATAAATTCTACAGAGTAATACTAATAAGTAAAAGAAAGTTAACCTTTTCTTATAGCTTGGAGTTCTACGTTAAAATACATAAACACATATAAACATACGTATTACCCCGAGAGCCCTGGATGGCCTTATTTTCCAAAGTTGCTTTCCTAACGACACCACTCAGTCTCATCAATCAGGTCTGTCCTCAAAATGCACTTTTCCCAACTCCTCAGGGGGTCAGGCACCTGCAGCCACACCCTGAAACTGCAGGGGTGGGGGAGGCAGCACAGGTGATTTGCAGTGGGGGGGGGGGGAGATAAAGAAGCAGGACAGAGAAATGTGGGTAGGAAGGTAGGGGGTTGGGATGGGCAGAGAGAAGACAACAGGCCCTGCAGAGGCAGAAACACAGGAAGCTCTCACATACTGCCCATCCCCCACCACCACCACCAAAATGAGCCAGCACCTCCCTGGATGTGAAACCCACCCGGCCCCCACCCAAGCTTCCCCTGAGTGATCTCCCAGGCACCAAGAACAAAGACACTGGGGCATGTGGGAAATGCGTGTGCTCCTAGGCGTGGAAACATACTTTGCAAAAGACAATGCCCGCGTCGTTAACACCTCCACGCACAGGTGCACTTAGCCCTAAGGTGGCTTAACCCTAAGCATGGCAGGAAAGATGCTACCCACAGTGCTCTGGGAGTGGCCTATGGACCGGGACATTGATTCCGTAACAGGAACACCTCCAGATGATAACCCCAGGTCCCCACTGTGGTCACCACAAAGACACCACCTGCCAGGCTCCAATCACAGACACTGGAATTTCCAAGCCGGAGAGCACGCCATGGCACCTCAGCCCCTCATTTGATAGACAAACTGAGCCCCAGGTTCCCGCACCCTGAAATCACTGTCAAGATCTGTTCCTCTTCAACAGGAGACCCACAGCCCGCCCTCATGACCTCGTGACCAGACTGAACAGGACTTTCGTTTTAAAGAGCCCATCACTCCCACGGTCTGCTGACTCGGTCCTTAGTTCCTCCCCTGTGCAAAGGCAGCAGACCGGGCACGAGAAGCCAAGGGCCCTTGCAGGGCAGCCAGCAGTGGTCCTTCTGCAGGGGTTGGAGCTGGCGGGAAGGGGACAATTCTGTCTCCCTTAACCCAGCTTCTCAACACAGGAGCCTCCGCAGGGCCGGTACTGCTCTCTGTGTCCCCCAGTCCCCTTCCCACCCGCACCATGGTCTGGTTGGCAGGCTCAGAAACAGCAGAGCTGGCAGGCGCTAAGAGAGAGTGGGAGCTTTCATGCCAAGAACCCGCTCACCAAGCACACACGTGAGCCAGGCCAGCCCCGGGCC